TTTTTTTTTAATAAAATTTTGAATTCGATTACTGTAAATTAAAAAAATAAACGTTGAGAGTGTTTTTTTAAAATAAAATATTAAATATAGAGAGTTTAAAATAAAAAAATATATATAAATATTTTAAAAATATAATAAATAATTAAATTAAAAAAATAATATTAATTATTTAAAATGTGATATCATCAAACCCTAATATAAAATAAAAGGAGAGTTGATTCCGACTATCGATTTTTAATATTGAGTTTGTCTCTTGTTTGACTGTGTTTGTTGGAAAGAATAGCTTGCTACGAATGTTATTTTTATTTAATCGTTCATATTTTGTAATATGATGTAATTTAATTGTAAAATTAAGTTTTTTTTTTTTTTCAAATTTTGTCAAATTTATATTTTTTTATAAACAAATTCAAAATTACCTGTCAAAGAAAGGCCAAAGCCCCTATTTGCACCATCCACTTATTTTTTTTCCGCGGTCAACACCTTTCAGAATTTTTTCTCCCTATTCACACCCTCCACTTTTCAAAACTTGTGAAAAACCCAATATTTTAACGGGCCGTCACGGCACCGTTAAAAAATGCACTACGTGGCACCCAGAATTTGACGTGGCACCCAGAATTTGACGTGGCACATGCAGCGTTTTCTTATTCGTTAGGTTCATACGTGGATCTCCTTTTTGATGATGTGGCATCCACGTGTGCAATGGGGCCCATTGCACGGGACTTTTCACGCCTGTCCCCGCGTCCCACCCAAAAAAAAAAAAAAAAAACCTAAAAACCTAAAAACCCAAAGATCTTAAACAGATCTGCAAAACCCACCTTCTCTTCTCAGTCTTAAGAAAAACACCCAATCCAGAAACCCATCGATTTGGTGCGATTGAATGTCAGTAAGGAGTCTGAAAAGCAAAGGAAAATCAGAGCTTCTTATTTCAGATTAGTTCGTAAAAGTCTTTGAATAGAGGGGACCATTGTCGGGGAAAAAGGGCACGATTAAGGGCACGAAGAGGACAGAAGGACAGAAAAGTTTGATAAGTGCCTTTATACTGTTAATAAGTTTCATTTTTCTATCATTCTTTATGGATTTTTG